CGTGCGGCAGTTCGCGCGCGGCCACGCCGTCACACGGTTGTTTCAGAGACGCACCTCCCGGGGGAAGTCGTTTCCTTCTTGAAGAGAATAGTCGGAGCCCAACGACACGGCGTAGTGCGACGATACTCGAATTGGTACTCGGTGAATTGTAGTCGCGGCGGCAGACAGATCGTCCTCTGCGTCCCTCAGGCGTGCACCGCCTGTCGCGATGATAACGTTGTAAGCATTCGGGATCGATTAGGGCCATATTTTTTGCGCAAAATAAATCCCTTCTGCAAAATACTAGAATTGTGATATAATTGCGAAATCGGTGGTACAAAATTTTATTACAATTTTTGCAAATTAAAAGTGCAACAGTGACTTATTTTTTTTTTTTTTTTTAAGAACTTGAGAAAGTTAATTTAAATTTGGTTTTTTCATATTGAGTTTGAATTTTCAGGTTCTTAAAAACCACTGTTGCACTTGAACCCTTCAGTGACCCTGAACTCTTTTCTTTTTTGACTTTTTGCCGTTCCAATTTTATTTAAAATTTCAAATACGTCAGTTCATCGCTAATAGCCGTTTAAATCAAGAAATTTCAGAGAATTAGTCTAAATTATTTTTCTAATGTTTTAAATTAATTTTTCAAAAATAAAAGAAATAAATAAGAATACTGTTACATTAAAGCCTTCAATCCAGATTATTCATGCCGAATTTATTTGAGGATACAATAATTTTGTTTATTAAGAAATAAATAAACGTTGAGCAACTTTGCACTGAACACCAAAATATGACTTAGGTGTCACTCTGTACGAAGCATCATAATGTGGCCAACACTGCTCGCAAGCCTCGTTCTATTGTCGGCGATACCGTACGGTCTTCCACGAAGCATCAGTCATGACGAAGTATATAGTGTTAAAAAATTAAAAATTAAAAATTACTATAATCGCAGTGATGGAATATAAACAAAATTGCTCGTCCGATCGCAGGGCCGATGGAAGCGCAGCATCGACTTAAATGACATCTACTACTCGAAAATGCGCCAGTACAGATTACCGAGCGAAGTCACGCCGACCAGTTATCACCTAAACATCAAGATACCCTCCATCAAAGATGTATCGGACACTAAGTTTGACGGTGACGTCAAAATTAACCTCACCTGGTCCGACATCAGCGACAGGATAATCTTGAACATGCACTCAAATCTGTCGATTGTAGATGTCAAAATCAGAGTGATTCAATTGCCACCCGACGAAGTGTAAGCAACCGAAACACTTAATTAAGCTAACACAAAAATTTCGCGCTTTAAACGTGAAAGTAGTAATTTAAGTCAAGGGTGATATTAACTTTTTATATATTTATTAATTGCATTTATATCATGCAGTCGTAATATTCGAATTTACGCGCACTTCTGCGACTTGGATTATTCAAAGATTCGCCTCTCTCGCTCGTTCATCATCGTAGGTTTTAAAATTAGGTAGTAAAATCTTTGTTTTTGTGATAAAGGGAAAAAGGCACATCAATGGACGTCTATATCGCGAGGATTGAACGGCAGGAAAAGAAATCCTGGTTGATCATTCATCTGGAGCAAATGCTGAAGAACGGAACTGTCTGCGAGGTCCACATTTTATATAACGGAAGTCTTGACACGTCTGAGAATGCTGGCCTCTACAGAAGTACGTATATGGACTTGCGTAAAGGCCTACAACAGTAAGTACAATATGAATATTTTATGTTTAATAAAACTTGAAATTTCTCGTATTTCAAAATTTACAAA